CACATGAGGGCCGAGATGCCATCTCCTCTGTGCCTCTATTTAGAGTATGAATGTTCACACCTGAAATAAACTCAATTAGCATACTCTATGATTATTGTTTATATTTTCATCTATCATTCACATCTGTCTCTCCCAAATTACAGCCAATGCACCCAAAGCTTCAGAATTCAAAAGTTTGAATTGTGAACTTCAGACAGATACCTGGATCTATACATTTTAGTACAATAGATCCTCTGACTTTGTGGGTGGGGAGAGGACGAACAGGTCTAGTGTGCTAAGAGAATGCTTCTTGGTGTAGAAGCCTTGTCCTGGTCACATGTTCTCTCCTTTTCCCAGAGGAGATGCTTGGCATCGGGTATTAAAAATAACCACTTGTCATGGGCTGCGTTATGTTCCTGAAAGTTAGGTTGAAGTTCCAATTCTGCAGCCTGTAAAGTGACTCTATTTGGGGGGGAAAAAGTGCTTGATTTCTCTTCTTCATGAGGCCTCTCCAGAGTAGCCTGGATCCTAAACCTAATCCCTTCTTCATTTCCCAAGATAAACTCACTGCTATCCATTTGAGGCCAACTCATTGTGACTCTTTAGAACAGTGTAGAACTGCCTTGTTGGTTTTTGAGTCAGTAGATTTTTTTACTAGAATAACAAGCCTCGGTTTTCTCGTGAGCAGTGCCTGGTGGTTTCAGACCACATACCTTTGCAGCCCAATTCTAACCCACTACATTACCAGCACTCCTTCATTATTTTTTAATGGCTTCTGATAAAAAGACAGGAGGTCTGGTGGTAATCCAGTTGCTATTGGGATGCAATTTGGATGATCAGCAGCTGAGAACGATTAAGCAGCAACCAAGGAGAAAGTGTGGGCTTTCTGCTCCCCTAAACAGTTACAGTCTCACAAATCCACTGGGGTCGCTAGGAGTCAGAATTGACTCCATAGCATTCAGCTTGGCCCTTGAGTTATAAAAAGACATGATAGACAGATCCATTGAAAGCTACATCTACAAGTAGTCTAGGACTTAGCTGGAGCTACAGAGGTCAAAAGAGATAAGTACTTTCTCCTCTAGCAGGCAGAAAGAGCCTAACCCTGCCCAGCATTGAATTCAGACTCCTAGCCTCCTCTACATTGGAGGATCCAAGAGAAAAAAAAAGACCCTCAAGGAAGATGCATGGACACAGTGGCTACAACAATGGGCTCAAACACACAAGCTGTGAGGATAAAATCAGAAGATGTTTTGTTCTGTTGAACATATTGTAGCGATGAGTAAGAACCAACTTGATGGAACCTAACAATAACAACAAAACCAACAGATTCCCAAACCATAAGACAATGCATTTCTGATCTCTATATCCACGTGCTCACATGATCTTGCTATGAGAGAGGTAGTAAACAATGACAAACCTAGGATGAACAATCCAATGTAGCTTTCAAGGCTAAAATGTTTGCTGGGTGATTTCTTCATTTCTCCCTCTTGCCCCTCCCATCTCATCCTCCCTAAGCATTTAAGGCTGAGAACATTGTCCCCAAATTCTCCATCTGCACTTGTCCACAGACAGGGAACGACTCAGCTGGGCTCTCATCATGGCTTCCCAAGTCTACATTCTGGCCTCGCTCTGCTTTCTATTCGGGTTGCAACCATCGCTGAC